AGTCTACAAAACATTTTCACATATGACTCAATCTTCACAATCATCTTGAGGAAAGTAACAATGACAACAACAAAGCTCTTTATTGAGTACTTTGTGCCTGGCACTTCCGTTAAGAGCCTTACATAATATTATTATTTAATTCAACAATCTGCTGAGGTTGGAGTTGTAAACCATTTACTAATGTCAAATACAAGGCAGGATTTGAATCTATGTTCTCTAAATATTCATACTATGGCAAGATTTGGAGAAAAGAGCTTGAGTTTCAGCCCAATAACTTAATATCTTGGTGACCTTGAAAAGTCAATTCTCTTAACTTGTCTTAATTTATTAAATGACAAGATTAATACCTGCCCCCACCTATTTCAGAGTAACAGTAAAGATCAAATTAAGTAAAAACCATAAAAGGTCTTCATAAACACTAAAAAAATTATACAAAAAAAATTATCATCATCATTCCCAATTTTGTTAAAGAGAATGAACAGGAAGAACAACACAGAATGGGGGATGGAAGGAAAAAGATGTTGGTTTTTCTTTTGTTTTTTTAAAGCATACTTCAGACTTCATAATTTACCTGGAACTTACTGGCAATTGGTCTAATAAGTTTGTACCACAATATATATATTGCCATTATGCTAAAAAAAAAAAAAGACACAGCTATCTATTTTTCTGTAACTTATACAGATTTAGAGATTAATAAAAATCTAACAGCTTATTTCATTTTTAAAAATAAAGTCACTTTCATAAGAATAAGTGGCCACAATATAAGGTCGCCATAATTAAAATTCCCATGCAATAGCCTTCCTGTTCTTTTCTACATTATCATGTTCAACATGGGATGCCCATATCTTTCATTCTGCAAAGATTAAGACATGAACTATAGGTCAAAATAAACAAACCAGACCACTCAAAATGAGTTGATTTAAAGGAAAATTTCTATTATTCAAAACTTCATAACTTAAGGTTAACTTTTAATAGTATTTTCAGTAAATGAGTGAGAGAAGGAAGTTGAAATGAGACCATTCAACTGGTATGAGGTATGTCAGATATTAAAAAGTAAAGTATTGAACCTGAGATTACTTACTAGTCACAAAACTTCAGCTCACCAAAAAGGTTTAATAACAGAGTTCAGAAAAGCCACAGAGTACTCATCTCTTTCATAGCAAAAACAGCCCTATTATTTTTATTCCTTCTAAATTGCATTCACAAAACTCACAAAAATTGCAAGGCAAATTATTATAACAATTTATATATATTAACAATAAAAAATACCATTCTCATTTTCAATAAGAAAATACCCTTTCTATAGAAGAAAAATCATGGACTCTGATAACCCATTTCTATAAAATGTACATGTTTACTGACTAACTACATATGGTATTTGATCTACTTTAAACCTACATGTAAACTCAATAGCATGTCAGACTTAACTTTCATATATAAAATTAGGTGCAAATACCTCAATACTGAAACTCAAGATAGTGATTTGTATACTAATTCTAGGATCCAGATCTTTGTATGTAAATATCAAATGATATATCCACTGAGGAATTTTTTAACCTAACATATTCATTCATTCAATTCCGAATCTACTACATATTTCTAAGCAGTGATTCTCAACTAGGGGCCACTGTGCCCCCAAGGGGACATTTACCAATTGGTTGTCGCAACTGGAGGGGAGAGAAAGCTGTTTCCAGAAAGGTATGTTACAGACATCCAGTAAGTAGAGGCCAGGGATGTGGCTAAACATCTTATAAAAAGCACAGGACAGCACCCCACAGCAAAGAATTATCCACCCCAAAATGTCAATACTGCCAAGGTTGAGAAACTGATCTATGGAAAAGTTTGTAAACACCATCTGTCTAAGAACAGTACTCACTTCACCTTTGTTTTCTATATTATTTGCTAATTCCCTTGTTTTCATACTAGTCTTTGGCAATAAGCTTACTCTATTCCTATCCTTTCAATCAGTGTCTAACTTCCAAACCTGTAACAAAAAATCACCATCTCAGCCAATTTCAAAACCTTATAATCTTTGACTCAGAATGATAGAAATGGTAGCAGCTAACACAGATTGAGCTCTTCACTATGTACTAGGCACTCTTCTAAGTGCCTCACTTCTATTAACTCATTAAATCTAGGTTTAAGTACTAAGTACTCTGCTTAGGCCCATTTTACAAATGGAGAATCCAAGGCACAAAAGGTTAAATACTTTGCCCAAGGTCACACAAATAATAAGCAGCTGAGCCAAGTTTCAGACCCAGGCAGAATGGCTCCACAAGTCAGGCCCTTAATCAATATTCCAAAGTGATCTCTCCTATTTCACCCTCTATGTCAAATCATTAAGTTCTTGAAGTTCCACAAAGACAGGGACTCTTATATTCACAGCAACATCCCCAGAGCCCAGTACATAACTAACAGATGCTCAAAAAAATTTTGTTTGTTAAATGAATGAAATATCCCTTGAACTTACCCCTCCTATTTCCTCTGCCTCCACTCAAGGCCAGCTTTTGAGCATTTCAGACTTGGGTTTGTTGCAGTATCCTATAAACCAGCCCGTCAGGTAAATTGATTTAAACTCCGCTCCCACAATTTCCAAAACCGGAGCCCATCCAACGTATTCCAAGCTTTCTTCCCACTGCTTCTCAATTAAAATAATAAAATCTTAAGAATCAGAAGGTACCGTAGCAATCATCCAGCCCAACATTTTAAAGATTAAAAAAAAAGAAAGAAAAAAAAAGATGGTAAGTGACTAAACAACCTAGCCAGGTGTAGCGAGGACAAGACTTGATTCTTGCAATTTCTGCTCTACTATTCACTCCTGGAGTATCTAACTCCTGACAGATGTATCCTCATAAATTTGTTTCCTTTGTCCATGCTTAATTTGTTTCTCCTGACCAGCCTGCTCTAATTTTCTTGCTCCATAAATCCAACTCCCATCTATCCCTCAAAATCTCTTCCTATTCCAGTCTTCATGACTTCCTCATTCTCTGAAAATCTTATGTCCCTGAATAAGATGGAAGAAGAGGATCACCATTGCTTACAAGGCCAAGTTTAACGTGCATTAACATTTCACACAAAGCAAAGCTACATGGATTTCTTCCCTGAAGACTATTCACCCACTCTTGCCTCCTGTGTTTTATTTTACGTGTGTGTGTGTGTGTGTGTGTGTGTGTGTGTGTGATTTCAGAGAGGAAAGAATAGGGAAAGGGAGATAGAAACACCAATGATGAGAATCACTGATCAGCTGCCTCCTGTATGCCCCCAACCGGACATGTGACCTTGACGGAAATCGAACCTGGGACCCTTCAGTCTGCAGGCCGACACTCTATCCACTGAGCCAAACTAGCCAGGGCTGCCTCCTGTGTTTTAGAAAGTAATTTCAATCAAGAATAAGTCATATTGCAACTTTATAACATATTCACTCACGTCTTTAATAGTAGACATGTAATTTTTGAATGGCCCCAAACTACTTATATCTTCTCCACTAAGGAACAACACAGCTTATTCATAAAGTCCAAACCCAGAAATCTCTGAATACAACTCACCTAGCAGCCATAGCTCCCTGGGTTTATCATTTTCTTCCCTTTTGCTTCCTCCAAAACTCCCTTTCTAAGGAACAGTTCACACTTCCGTTTCTCCCACCCACCCCCGCCCCCATTCCCTATAGTGTGCAGTATAGAATATCTTTTATCCTTTATTATTTAATATAGACCTCTTCAGTGAGATTCCAGTTTGTTACCTCTCATCCAACCTCAACTATCCCCTCCTTTACAGAGAGGTCATATCTATGTGTTCAGCTTCTCTCAGATCTTAGGATATCTAAACCTCATGAAGGTCAATTTTGTGGGGTTTTTTCTCCCTTCTCCTCTCTTCCTTCCTCTAAAAAATCAAGTCTCAAAAAGTGGTGTGGGTGGGAGCTGCTCAGAGGAAGTGCAAAGGAATCCACGGGGCTACAGGAAAAGATATCTATTAGAGGTTAATTTATTATACTTATTGTTCATGTCATGCTTTCTGAAATTCTCTCTCTCTGTACATTATACAGTTGTATACATATTAACACAGTTAAGACAAACACAAAACTTAAAAGACACATCAAATATTCCTGAGGTTTAATGCTCTTTTACTGATACAAGGGTATGATCAGAAGAGTGTGGAGACAACTATTCTAAAAAATACCTTGATAACCAAACAAAGTCACAGGCTCCAGACTCCTGGGAGGAAGTACGTATGAATACATGCACACACACAGTAGGAAAATGTGTGCGTAATCCAAAATCCTAGCCATGCCCACCAACCTCTAACCCCTACCAGCCATCTCAGAATTCTATCCTCCCTAAAAGAGCAGAACAGAAAGAGGTACCGTTTGGCCAAGCCCTTCATTTCCAGTATTGGGGGGTAGGGGTGGGGGGTTTGGGGGGGGGGTGGTGGTAATCAAAAAAGTGCTAAGATACAACCCTTCTCTCTCCCACAGGCAGGCACTGCTCCCTGTCCTGGCACTGCACATGGCCCGACTCACAAATATACTTTACAGGCCGCCGTCTCCTGAGATTCCGTTGCTATTTCCCAATCCCTTTGAGACACAACTCCCCGTTCTCTCCGCTGATGATCGATTTGTACCAACACCTCCAGGATGGAGCCCACGCCTCCTCTCCCCTCCCCTCTCGTCCCCTCCCCGGGCGGCGCTACCCACCGCGCCCTCCTCCCCGATCGAGTCGCGCAGCCCGGGCCCGGGACGGAGAGAGGACGGTCCCCCCGCGGCCCCGGAGCCCACTTCCCCGGCCTCCGCCCCCGGAGCTGCCAGCCAGGCTGGAGGCGGGAGGGGGAGGGGTGTGACTCGCCTCCCGTGACTGGCCCAGATGGCAGCGGATTCCGCCCCCACTCCTCCCGGGCGCCCTTCCACCGCCCGGCCCCCCTCAGGCTGCCGGTCCGCCGCCCACTCCGCCCCGGCCCCGGCCGCGGCCTCCCGGCCCCTCGCGCCGGCGCCTCCGGGACGCACTCACCATGCTGGGTGAAGATATTGAAGCCGGCCTCCGCGGCGGTGCGCCCCGCCGGGTCCCGCCTGCGGCCGGACGGCCTGGCGGCGCTGCTGCCCCGGCTCCCGCGGGGCTGCGTCTGCTGGAGCCCCGGAGCCTCCCCGACGCGGCCCACCTGCTGCCCCATCCCTGCGCTCGCCAACTCCCGCGCCCCCGCCGACCCCCGGTCACATTCCTCCCCGGCTCCGGCCTCGGGCTCCTGGGGCTGCTTCGGCCTCCGTGCCAGTCCTGGCCCCGGCCCTGGGGAGCCGGGTGGCCGGCGGCTCCGCACCCGCACTCCTCACGCTGCCTCTCGGCGACTCACAGACCCTCCTCTCCTCCCCTCCTGCTCCCGCGGCTCCGCGTCCCCAGCGCCGCCGCCGCCGCCGCCATCTTTAAACCACCGAGCTCTGGGAAAGCGTGGAGCAGAGCGTCCCCCGCCCCCCGCCCCGCCAGTCATCTCCGCTACTCCGAGGGCGGGCTTTCCCGCAGGCCCCGCCCCTGCGCAGGCCCCGCCCCTGTTCAGGCCCCGCCCCCTGCGGGAGCCCCAGTGCCCACCTCGGTAGCACATCCGCTGCCCCGTCAGGTCTTTCGGCCCCTCTGTCCCATCCCCGCATCTCGGACTCCCGCGTCCCGCCCCACACGCGGCCGCCTTTGGTGATGGGTGGGTGTAAAGTCCTCCCTGTCCCACCTCCACCTGCCAAATGAATCAGCCGGGCGCCCCAGGTGCACTCACCGCGCATTAGCAGGCACAGCTGGGAGAGAGGAGCATAGGGCACAGAGGTGCTTCCCTTCCAGGTGAGGGTCCCTAAAATGCTCGGGGGCGAATCTCTTTATAAACACCCTCGTCAGCAGCAGGCCTAGGATCAAAATTACCCAAAATGTACACGAAGATAGCAAAGAGGTACATTATCGTCTCATTTTGAAATTATTGCATGATGCTAAAGCGCAGTCAGCTCGGTTGTCTGCATTCTACAGGCTCACGGGAGGAAGCAGATGTGGCCCCAGTCCTCATATTATATTACCATGAATTCCTCTTTACCACCTAACCACATGAGTTACCCTCACAATGTTTGACAGTAAAGCTAATAATCTTCCCACTGGCATGCTTTATAAACCTGGCACATTGTCAGGTCTTCCTTTGATGACAAAGGAGGGCAAAATCTATCTTTAACTCTGTTTCTGAGTCAGAACTTACTTATTCACCCTTAACATATTATCTAAAGAGAGTGACTCAAGCAGAAAAGTGTTTTTATATGCACATACAATACATATTTATGTGTCTAAATATTCACTTATCCTCCCACTACACATTCTTGCATCTTAATATTGATCTAGTTTTTTAAATTTTAAAAGAACTGGATAATTATTTTCCTTTGGCTTTTCTATTTCTTTTACAAAATTATCAATTATTGAAGGTATCCCACTGAAAATTTGCTTAAAATTAAAGCAGAGAGGATGGGTACCATGGCAAAGAAGCACAAAACAATCACTGGGGAGATAGGTTTAGGGGGAAAAGGTAAATGCTTGTCTTCTTTACATGTCTTACAAAACTTTAGATGAACCATCCCTGACATTGACACTATTATAAGAGCAGTATGAAATTATTCCATTGCTATCCAGGCTGTGACCAGAAATAACAGAGGCTGCCCCCCCCCCCAAACAAAACAAAACAAAACAAAAAAAAACCAAGAACTATGCTTTAACACTGAATAGAATATGAATTTTATATTTGAATCAAAGTTTCCCTGTGTTTAAAATGCCACACACACATCCGTTTTTAATTATCAAAGTGTTTGCAACTGCTGAAAAAAAAAGCATTCACAAGGGATAAAGGTGGTCACATAGCAAAAATTTGTGGGTTTTGTTTCATTTGTATTATCTTAGAGAATTTCAATTTGGGGGTAACAGTTTTGCTTCCCTGGTTGTCTGTCTATAAGTGACCATTAGGACTGGTATGACCAGTTGACCAAACGACTGGTTGACTGTTCGCTATGATGCACACTGTCCACCAGGGGGCAGACACTCAACGCAGGAGCTGCCCACTGCGCTCCCACAGCCAACCCTCCGTGGCCTAGGCTGACCAACCTCCCACAGTCCCTCCCGCAGGCCAGCTAGCCAGCCCCCATCAGGACTGAGCAAGATGGCCCCAATGGGCCAGATCACTAGCCAGGCCAAGGGACCCCACCTGTGCATGAATTTGTGAACTAGCCCTCTAGTGTTATATAATGTAATAGATGCATATAGTATAGCACAGTGGTTAGGTGTAGGAATGCTAACTCTAGACTGCTGGAGTTCAAAAGTGGATTTATAGCCCTAACTGGTCTGGCACAGTGGATAGAGCGTCAGCTTACGGACTGAAGGGTCCCAGGTTTGATTCTGGTCAAGGGCATGTATCTTGGTTGCGGGCACACCCAGTAGGGGATGTGTAGGAGACAGCTGATTGATGTTTCTTTCTTTCTTTTTAAAAAAATATATTTTATTGATATTTTACAGAGAGGAAGGGAGAGAGATAGAGAGCTAGAAACGTCGATGAGAGAGAAACATCGACCAGCTGCCTCTTGCACACCCCCTACTGGGGATGTGCCCGCAACCAAGGTACATGCCCTTGACCGGAATTGAACCCCGGACCCTTCAGTCTGCAGACCGACGCTCTACCACTGAGCCAAACCGTTTTTGGCATGATTGATGTTTCTAACTCTCTATCCCTCTTCCTTCCTCTCTGTAAAAAAATCTATAAAATATATATATTTTTAAAGATGAGTTTATACTCATTAGCTATTTGGTCTTGGGCAAATAACCTTTTTATGCATCAGTTCCTCATCTGTGAAGTCATGATAATAACAATAGTACCTACCTTATAGTGCTCTTATGAGAATTAAATTAGTTAATATGTATAAAGCATTTAAAACAATTTTGGGCATGTAAGTGTCATACAAGCACTTACTATTCATACCAAAATAAAATGTAACAGGGGGTAGGGGAGGCTGGGGGAAAGTCTACTGGGGGGGAAAAAGAGATATATGTACTACTATAAATAATACTTTAAACAATAAAATAAAATTTTTAAAAAGAAGATATAAACTTAAAAGAAATAAAATAAATGTAATGTTTTCAGAAGTCCATCAACTTTTCCAAGTCTAATTTCTTCAAGTGGTATAAACTTAGGTCATAGAACAAATTCTACAGCATTTATTCAGATGAGCCACCACCACCACCTGCCACTTCGCATTTAACTAAAAACAAAACACCAGTCAACCAATAAAAACATGGAGAGTCATATGTCACTTTATTAGTCATTCCTACCTGGTTATCGCCAGCTACCTGCATATGTAAACAATTACATAAGACCTTTGTTTTTCATATGAAAATTCCTCTGTCACTGATTCTTAAGATCCTATCTAGGTCAAAGCAAATATCTTGTAAGCGGAGACTTAGGATACATGCACTGTCTCGTAGATATTTTTCCATTCTTTCATTTTCAAAGTGAGATGGGAACTTTCAGAAAGGGAGGTGGGGAGAAACAAAGTTAGGGAAACTATTTCCTCTCAACATAACCGAGCCAACAAGAATTGCCGGAGAATTACATTTTAACATTCAAAATAATCCCAAAACATTATCTTAATGGAGTGCAGCTGTGAGCTTCCATCAGGGGCAGAAAGAAGCATGGCGGAAGGAGGAGGGGATTTTGAGGGGGGAGTAACAGGGATGGTGCACAGTAGCGCAGGGACAGCCTCACCTGTATGAGGGCCAGGGAACTGGCATGAAAGATCAGATGCAGCACCAACACCAGCAGGCACACCAAAGACACAGATGCTCATCATCTTGATCTTCTCCAGACGGAATGCCACTGTTGGTACTTAGGATTCTACTCAGATCCTACCACCTTCATAAGAAAGTCTCAGATTCATACATAGAGATAGAACAATTTCCCTGGTCTCTATGCGGTTCATACCTACAGCAAGCATGACTGATAACAATTCTTTGCCTATAAAATTCAGTTACTTTCCTCTACATCCCCCAAATGTGTTTAATTTTGACAGGTGGCTCATTGTCATAGGGTTGGAAAGAATTTTAGAGGTCATCTAGGCAAATCTCTTGGAATTCCCTCTATAATAACTCCAGTGAGGGAGCCCATTTGTTTTAAAACGTTCTAATTGTTAAGAAGATAAACTGACACATGCCTCCCTGAAATTTCCACCTGTTTCTCTCCTGGTCCTAGTTGTCCCCTGTAGCTACACAGAGCAAATCTAACCTTTCTTCTACACAACAGCCCTTCAAACATCTGAGAGTTGTCATATTTCCCTAAACCTTTTCTTTCACTTGCATACATGAATGTTTTGTATGATTATATTTATGTCTGTCTGTATTATCTACATGGGCTAAAATGTTTATGTCGATAATTTGGAACCAAAAAAAAAAGTCATTTTATATGTAGTTTTCTTTCTCTTTTTTCCAGCTTTATTGAGCTATAATTGAAATTTAGCATTGTTTAAGGTATTGATTTGATACACTTACATATTACACAGTGATTATCACCATATACTTAGCTAATATCTACATTACCTCACATAATTGCTATTTTTTAACCGTAAACAATACTCACATTTTTTATTCCAAAGTAGGTTTTGTTTTGTTTTCAGGACCAGGGTTCTTCTGCCCCTACAAAACATTTTATTTATTTATCTTTATTGTTGAAAGTATTACAGATATCCCCTTGGTTTGTTTGTTTGTTTTTCCCATTGACCGCTGTCCCCACCCCCTATTTCTTTTTTTGTGGTGAAAGCATTTAAGATCTACTCTTTTAGCAAATCTCAGGTATATAATATAGTATTATTAGCTATATCATCATGCTATACAACAGATTCCCCAGAACTTAATTCAGCATATAACTGGGAGTTTGTATCCTTCAACAAAATCTCCCCATTTCCTTCACCCCCAACCCCTGCTAACCATCATTTTGTCACAAATGGCCGAATTGCCTCTTTTCTCGTGGCTGAATAATATTCCATGGTATATATGTACCACATCTTCTTTGTTCATTCTGTTAAGCCTTTTGTGCATGCAGTACTTTGAATTTTGTTTGTGTGTGGTTCGTCTCTCCATTGTTGTTGTACTAAATCTTTAAAGGCCTACAGAGCACTAAAT